TTCTTTGACGCATGCGCATTTGCATAAATGTCTACACACACACATACACACTACACACAATAAAAAACATAGGAAATAGCAAGAGTGATTACAATAGTTCCTATTGCATTACATGCATAGGAACTAAAAATCCCTAACAACATAATCCAAGTCCACTCCCATGTCATAAAATCCTTTATTCCCATTTTCCTAGCTTTATCTGTGATTTCCTGTTCAGCAAAATAAATACTGCAGACCCTTACAATACAATATTGATGAATATGCAGCATACTAGGAGCTTGTAGGTCAGTTCCATAACCTTCATTTGAATACTATAATTTATTTAGAAACAACTACCATGTCCATGAACTTATCTAGTATAATTCACCTCTGTAACCAACAATACTGATATCAAATAAAAACATCACATTACTATTACTTTACAACACTAAAGGGAAATTATGTATAATCCCCATCAATATTAATATCCATAACTGAGATAGAATGGTTACACAAGGCCACGTTGGATGTTGAATGATCTTTGGTTCATATTTCCATTATATCCTGATCTATTTTATGTATGTCATTTATCATGCACAGTATTAAAGGTGTCGGAAGATCAGCCCATTAGCAAGCTAGCAAAAGAAACCAATTCAAGATGATAATTAAGGATCATTAGCATATCAGCTAATTTACATTGAGGACCATTCATCAAAATACGATAAATTTAATAAATCATTTGGGTTATAGCTTGCGTGCCTTCCTTTTCCGATTCATTATGGAACCTTCAATGATTAACTGTCGGGCATTACCATGAACCTTGGTGAAAAACACAAACTGCATACATCAAGGTTTGTGTAGTCGTAAATACTAAAGTCTGGTTCACAATGTATAAATCCTAATCAAGACGGAGGGTAGATTTACTTTGGTTAAATTATGAACTAATTGTCAGTGGGTATTACTGAGACCAAACAAGGGTTAAATAAAACAACTATTTTAAAGATAACAATAGTTATACACCTAGACTTATGCATACAGTACACACTACAGTATATATTTTAATGGACTGACAATAAACATCATAATTTTTAATTTTCAGCGAGAATGCAATCATAGAATATACATACTGTACTGTGCGTGCGTGATCAGGAAACTCAATGACGTAATACTGTACATTAGTAGCATGTACTTTGAATATTTTAATTAAATGAGGCAATAGTATTTTGGAACACTTTTTTTGTTAGTTTAGCTCTTACTAGTGGGAAAAATGTGATATTCCCCCAGTGTATAGATAGCATCTCTGACACAAATACTCCTGTGCGGTGTTGTCATCAGAAGACACTCTGATGCTATTACATTTATTACAAAATTTATAAAGCTTAAACTAACTTTTCATTGATGTTCAGACAAAGGTTACAAGAAACTAGAACTAGAGTAATTAATGGAGAAATTTTTACAAAGTTAAGTGATAAAGTACTCGGCACTAAAGTTCAGCCAGGTGGGAATTCCAAGGCATTGGGGTTCCTAACGAAAAGGATTAGCTCTCCCAGTAGCATACACAAATGCCCAACTGGTGGAACATAGCATTTAGCAGTACAGTAGGATGGTTCTTCTTTCCTATACTTGTGTTATAATAATTATCATGATTTTTATTGTGTACAGAATGCTTAACTAAAGCTAAACAGAGTTTATCCTCTCAAAATTACTTTTATATAAATATTTCAAAAGGTTTTTGTAGATGAATTCTATATTTGTTAACCACCAAAGGTAGTAGGTTGTTTATTATTCAGAACTAGATACTCTTATTTATAGTTCTGTTTGTGTTTCACCACAGGCATTCTATATAAGAAGTCTATATAAATGGTCAAAAAGAACTGAAACATGTTCAATAAAAAAACTAACCTATTAGATAGCACAATTAAATATAACAAAAAGGTTTTCCTTTCTATTATACCAAATTAAAAAAAAAAACAACAACAACTTGAAAAGAAACCACAAAAACCAAAATATATAATATGGAATAATGGCATGTAATGCATTTCTTCATGTTGAATGTCGTTATCAATCATTCAATCATGCTATTTAATATTGATATACTTATTTTCTCCCTGAGATTTTCCCTTATAAAACCATTATCTTGACTGACTTTAAGCCTTGTTTTGGGAAATTCCCATTGAAACAATTAACATTTTAAAAAGTCAAAACAAGCAACTGCTTCACAGATAAAGGTATATTATATGCAACTGCTTTACACAGCATGCAACTGCTTTACACAGTATGCAACTGCTTTACACAGCACGCAACTGCTTTACACAGCACGCAACTGCTTTACACAGCACGCAACTGCTTTACACAGCACGCAACTGCTTTACACAGCACGCAACTGCTTTACACAGCACGCAACTGCTTTACACAGTACGCAACTGCTTTACACAGTACGCAACTGCTTTACACAGTACGCAACTTCATGGAATTTCCATACATTTTATTCATTTTGTTGCTTTCATTTAATATACATTTATTCATGTATACATACATCTCATCTTTATTTTATGAATACTATTATACTTCGTAAAGAATATTTTTTTTTTTAATTTCCCTATGGATTTGTTTGTCAGGTCAATATGAAAAAATATCAGTGTGTATAATTGATCAAGGATATAAAAAATTGTTAAAAGAAGAGAAAAAAATCAATGCATATTTTATAGGATTACCCGCCCCCACCATTTTGTCAATGAAACTGAACAGAATCTATTTGATAAACCAAAGGTCTAAAATCTTTTGACCTACCCATCAAAGATAACAAAAATGTGGGACCTGCATACAAATTCTATTAACGCACTAAACTGGTCAATTTAAACACCAAATAATTTATTTTCTTTAAATGAGACAATAAAAATAATTCAGCTTTTATTGTAATACTGTCTGTGTTTACTAATAAAATATCTGCTCTGATTTGTCAGTTAAGTTTGACATACCCCAGAAAGGTCCATTGATTATGATCTTTAGATATTATATTTACTGCTGAGGTCATTTATGTTTCTGTGAGTGTTTTTGAAAATGAAATAAAAGAAAAAAAATTTAAAAAAAAGCTAAACTTATGGACACTTACCTACAACAGTTAGTGTAGCACTCCTCTGTGATACTAAGTTACCATCTGTGTTGAAAACTTGACAGAAATATAGACCAGAATCATCCAGTGATAAATCTCGTAATATAAGATTGTGCTGTCCAATGGACCTGGCTCTTTTAGACAATGAACCTAATATTCCATCTGAAAAGAACAGTTTGAAAATTATGTTAAATTCAACTAATAAAATACTACTATATATTCAGTTTAGAACATTCATTAATTTCTAATTTAGAACATTTACTTTATCTGAAGGAATTAAAAACATACATTAATATCAATTTCAATTTGTTTTTCTAGAAAAAAATTAATTTTTGGGAATTCATACATTTTCGTACCTAAAATAAACTATAAATTTAAATTAGGCAAATTACTGTGCATTTATGAAACACCTTTCCCTTCAGCTGCAATGCGCAATCAGATAAAAAAAACAACAAAATCTTCATTTTACAATGAAAAAAGGTTATTAACAATGGAGGTAATAACCTAGAATTTGTTATTCATTATTGGTAAGTCCTACTGCACAAGATGAAATATATTTATTACCCAATATATTGAGCAAAGAGATATTTGCACACACATCCACGAAGGTCAAATTAGAGTATACTTTGATTAAGCTTATTAAAAAGAGGATAGTGTAAAATGAATAAAATGCATGCATTGTATTGCAACTGACCAAACAAGAGCTGATGCGCGTATACTATTTTTGAAGGCTTCACAACCGCATATATTCAGGAGAGGCGTTTACGTGAGAAGTCTTATTTGAGAGCGACGCTTATTAAAAATTTATTTTAGTATTAAAATGGTACTAGTGGTGTATCAATAGGGGTTGCGAAATGGGTGCTTAACCAGGCAGCGGCCGAAAAATTTCTTATCTAATTGTGAAATCACTGAGATTAAAATTGTAAAAACTCTGGAACTTTCAATCATGGGAAACAACATCCTAAACTCTCAAATTAGGTTGGGTAACAACCCGAACCCTCTCCTTCAAACAATAGCCCATGTCCTTCCTCAAACCAAAATCCCTCAGCTACCACTCGATTCCCCTTCCCTCCCTAGTTACAGTAGAGTACATAGGCTACAGTACTTGACTTATTATGTTATTATATTCAAGAGAAACTGATTGTTTCTAAATGATACAAAATATCAAGGCATATTTAATACGTACTCTCCATTAGGAAGTACAATATCTAAAGTACTTAAAACAAAGTATCTCTAAGTATAATGTTTAATTTGAAAGCAGAGTAAGTGAAAAAATATCTAGATGTGGGTATGCACATATTTTAGAGAGGTGCATCTTATATCACTTACAATAAATCCAAAAATGAATATAAAATGAAAATGTTCGTGATTTTTTTAGAAACTGAATATATATACTTTTATTCAAAAATTTCATTTGATATACTTTACAATAACAGTAAAATGTGTATCTTATTTCCATTTCTATACACAAAATACATAGAATTTTTATGGTATTGTAAACCCAGTTATGTGAATACAATGGATCGAGTTCTATAAAATAATGTTACATGAACTTTAATTGACCTATCAATATTAAATCGCAATTACAAAGGTCAACCTTATGCCTACAAATAGTGAGCTACTAATACTATTCATAAGTACAATTTAATGTTTCTTGCTTCAAATAATGCAAGTTGTGTAAACATGCATCAAATATTTACTGTAACAAAACATAACTAGTTACTCTAAAATTACATTCAATTTTTAGGTGAAATCCTAATTTTAGCCTAATAAAAGTGTAAGCAATGTACTACTCTTTAGCTTTAAGTAAAATTATCAATATGTCAAATTTATCTTATAGTGTCTTTGTTTTTTGGTTTTTTTTTTTTCAACCTCCTGTTATTGAATTAAAACTATAGAGAAACAAAGATTTTAAGTATTCATTAAGTACCATCTAGTTAATCTGCATAAAAGCTTTGTAAAATTTAATTTGCTGTACTGTACTTCATCTACAGTGTGTTGGTATGTATTTAATTGGCTAATAAGAGTTTGTTTTCATCATTTATTACATCGTCGATCATTAAAATTAAAAACTCACTGTACGACAATAATAATTTCATTTTGATCGCCGATGAACACGTTTTTGTTTACATTACACTTTGAACTCTTTGATAATGCCTAAGTATTTTTTGCTGCTGTTTACTCCATAACATAATGAAAATTAAATTACCAGTATCATTTTCTAAAAAAGGTAAAAAAAAAAACCCCATCAAATACTGTATGAATATAAATTAATTATCTGTTTAACTTCAATTAAAATGACAAATGAAATTTCCAATACACAAAAATCAGGTTAATTACTGTAGATAGCTCTTACAGTAGGTTTTCTCTATGACATCATGAAAAATGGACAATTCTGCCGGAAGAATTATTTACACTAACAAGCAAACGTGCAAAAGTTAATATTCTACCTACATTTAATCTTTCCCCTTCCACTTGAACAATCAAATCAATAAGCATTAATGCTGAGAAATTCCAGTGGGGAAATCATTACTATTCGTTAGTTCGAACTAGATGTTTAAGCAAGCACATCGCTTCATGAACTTCATCTTGGGATACAATATACAGCACATCATCACACCATACCTATTCCTAATACCATTACCAAAATCTTTCTTTTGAGGATATAATAGCAATTTTTATAGGTTTTTTTTAATTATTTATATTAACCACTTTCAAGAGAGATCATTTGGTTGTCATTGACAGCAAACGATTCTGTATGACAAACTTGACAGAATACAAATGTTGACAATCAGTGAAAAGAATAAATAGTTTGAAGCTGAATAGCTTATTGGTTAAAATGCTTGCCTTCTGATCCCAGGGTCCTAGGTTCAATTCCTGTCACAGCAGGATTTTATTTCACGACTAAAAACAACTCCACTCCCTAAGCCTCAATAAGAGACTTGGTTTATAAAGCTTTGTTCCATTCTATAAGTCGCGAGTGTACTTGCTGTTGGATGTGAAGGAAATTATAAAAAAAAAAAACTACCCCAAAAACAAACAAAAAACAAAAAAAAAGACAGCAAGCTAAAAACTACTAGGAGAATTAGGCCCAATAAAAAAATTGATTAGTTTATCATTCTCGCATGCATGTCTTCTATGGCACTGAACAAAACAATTTTTTTAAAGTTTTTTTTTTTATTTTATTATTTTTTTTATTAAATAGTAGATATTGTTTGTATTCATATTTTTAACAGCGCCTTATATAAAATCATATACTATTACTGGTAAAAAAATTTTACTGTATACATTTACACTGTATTTGGTTTAAAAGTGAATTTGTCTATATTATATATCTTTATCGTGATTTTCAATTAAAAGCCATGATTCAAGTATTGTAGCTAATAAAACCGAACTGTACACTAACTTCTTTATTTACCATACGTTGAATGTTGCTGGCCATACTTAAGCGTTCAATGGTTCAATGGTTGAAAAGTTCAATGCTTCATTCGTTCTTTATTTAATAATTAATATTTCTTTTGTTGGTCGAGTTAACATGACATGAAGGTATAGGTATCTTTAAATGATTAACATTCACATGCAATTATTTTTCATTCATAGATTGATTTATTTGACATCGTCTAAAGGTACAATACATTCAAAATTATTAATCAATTACAGAGAAACAAAAATAATACAAACCATTCAAGGTCAATGAACAATGCTGTAGATATATCAGGGACAACCTTCTATAGAAAATATACACTTTAAATTACGGATACATTGACGTATACTACTGTATGCTGTAAAAGGAGAAACTTTCGCGGCATAAATCTTTCACGAATTGATAGTTTCGGCCGTTTTCGTAACATTTAACTTTCGCAAATAGCAAAAGGCCTAAATTTTATTCATGAGAGGAATACCATACAATAGCTGAAAATATCGTATCCTGAGTTCTAGGCCTAGGCTAAAGCCTACAGCCACTGTCTAGGCTACAGTAGCTAGGCCTAGGCTTAGCGCCATAAGCCTGCCTACCACCTTACAAAATCGATAGATCGTCCCAAGGCGCTTAAAGTAAAAAATCAAAAATAAAAGATTGATTTAAAGTGAACTAAAAAGATGGGTTTTCAACTGACTCTTGCAAAAACACCCACTGAGGATGACTAACGGATTGACTCTGTTCCATATTTTTGGAGCTGCAACTGTAAAGGTTCGTTCACCGTATGTTTTAAGGCGACTGGAAGGGAAGAACAAAACCAATACTGGTAGTCAAACTAAGGGGTCTAGTGCAGGTTAAAGATCTTATAGTAGTTTGATGAGATCAGAAATGTATGTTGGTGATTGATTGTTGAGCGTGATTAGCATAATTTTGAAATCCATTATTGACTAAAAACATTCCTTTTCTGTGCTGCATATAATTAACTGATAAAACATTTGTAGAAGCACCATGAGCGTCATGTCTGGTGGATACCGGCGCTATGTAAATGTTCTATTCTATTCTATTTTAATTATCACAGCATCAATTGGAACAAAAATTAGTATTCAAAATTTGCCAAAATTAGGAAATTGCATAGTGGAATATTAAACAATACATTACACCGAATTATTAGATTGTGGTTAGTCTTTGTAGCATGCCCAGTAGCAACTTTCATATTCACTTTTGAATAATGCAGAATTCTCAAAGATTTGGTATTTAAAAACTAATATAAGCCATCGTTAGGCCATTAAAATCTGATAATTATGCTAATTAGATTGGCAGATAGCAGAAATATTTTCAGATCTTTATGAAATACTCCAAACTGCCTTGTGTGGGTTTATCAAGGAGAGCAAATGTCAACAAAATTTAAATGGAAAGCTAGTAGGCACACTGTAAATCACTCTCCTGGGATTCATTTCAGTAATATGTAGATGCACTGTTATTATATATGCTCCTTCCAAAAGCCATGCTCTGGAGGAAAATTTTTTCGTTGTTGTTAACTGATTGTTTTTTAAGATGGTGGCAAAAAAATAGGGGTTACACATCCCTTTTTCCCCAGGTTTTTAAATCTGTATCTCATTACCCGTACAAATTTTTCATCACACACCGTTTTCACATGGTTACCAACTGTCTCGCATCGTGCGAGACAGTCCCGCATTTTTAAGTGATTTTGGATGAAACACGCATTTTGCAGAAACACATGCAT